TATTTTTTGTTTTAGTGTTTTACGGCGCTCGCGCCTGCATACGGTCATATGAGCGCGCGGGACACTTTAAACATAAGCAGTTTCGTAGGAGTTCATCTTGAACTTTTACCGGGCGGCAGCCGAAGCCTACCTTTATCGATTTTGGAAGACCAAGGGATCTTTAATGTGCGCTACTTGCACACGGGACCTCCGAGACATTGATGCTAAGTTTGTATTAAGTTTTACGGTTTAAATTTAGTTTAACTTTGACTTTGAGTAGATCTATTGAGAAGCACATACACCGACACAATAACGGTCATTTAATGCTGGGGAAAAGTAAGACTTACAGATATAAATGACAGAAGGAAAGCAAAGAAGTAGGACCCACCAGCGGCGCCCACCAACCACTCGCGTCTATTTTAGGTAAGTGTTTTAGTCAGCATTTTACGGCGCTTGCAACACAATTAGGTCATAAGAGAGTCAAAGATTAAAAGCACAATTAGGTCATACAAGTGTCGAAGTGTTACTAGAGTGACATGCACAAAAAAGAGGAGAGATGAGCACAATAGATTTGTTATAGGAAGAGGGAAGAAACCACACCATAGCACCCGCTAACCACCCAATTGTTATGAGATTTTTACGGCACACAAATAGGTCATATAAGTGCCGAAGATTAGAGATAGTAGTGTACTAATAAAAATAATAAAAAGGGAGGCGAATAATTGTCTGAGTGCATGGAAGCATATCGACATAATAATGGTCATTAACTTAATGCTGTGGAAAAAAATACAGACAGGCAGGAAAAAAAATAAGTTTTGGTACAAGTTTTATGGCACTTGAGAACCAAGAAGGAAACATAAGTGCCGAAGATTAGAGATGTTAAAGGAGAGTAAAAAAAAAACACAAACAAGAAGGAGGAGAGATGAGGACGACTATAGAAGTTTGATATGAGAGGAGCGAACCACACCAGAGCATCCGCCAACCACCCGCAGGTGATCGTTAGGGCAAGTTGGACAGTAAGAACACAAACAACAAGTCCCC